GCGCACGGTATAAGAAAGGAAGATACATACATATGTGGGTATACACCTGCCTTTACAGTAGATTTCAATTTATAATAGACTACTATCTGATAGGCTTTTAGTGTTTACTCTAGGTAAATTTTGTAAAATAAAGGCTGATTATGTTTACTTACATAACTGCTAAGGTAAAGGTCGAATTGTAAATAGATTGCAGTTTAAAAAATCTTCTGGTTCCTATTAAAATTATCGTTTTGTAATAGCAACATTTAACACGCAAAAGAAAATTGTGTATCAGAATTGCTACATAATTTTCCGCATGGAAACACCACAAATTTCACCTGAAATACATATTGAATTCTCACAAAAGCCCACATTTTAACTTACAATCACATAAAAGAAAACAACTTAATGACGTTAAAGCTATTTCCATTGCAAGTTCATAAAAGCAACCGCTTCTAAGTGGCCGCAATAATCAAACCACAAGCACAATCTGTAATACTTGTAAATTTACAAAGTATTGAAATTGAGCCAAGTGCAATCAAACGAAAAGAACGATGCACTTCATTTGTTAAAACCTGTTGAGCAACTCTTTTTTGGAAAGTCCCAAATATTAATGATACTCTTTACATAATTAGACTTTAGGCGGAGTTTAATGGCGTTTATTCAACAGAAGATGCTTAAATGTCACTCTACTATAATAATAGGGACTTTACTTGGCCAACTACAATACCAAAATTCCCTAGAGTCAACACTTAAAACTAAACCAGCTTCCGCACCAGGCTGCTGAGGTTTTAGAAAAACTACAACAAATGATATACATACATACATAAATGTTCATTGACCATTCAAGGTGAGTAAAGGAGAAAATGGATAATTACCCTTTGCATTGAATATACCAGCGTCGATTGGTGATTAATAGGTGGCCACTGCTGTCGTGCTGCAATTAGTTGATTAAATTGATCACTATTGCTACTAATTGAAAACTGATATGACAATCGCTTAATAATTCACGCTGAGAGCTTACTTTTATTAAATTAACTTTAATTATTCGTGAATTTTAGCACGCTATCATGTTTTATAGAACTAACCACACAATATAATCGAATTGAACAAAAACAAGATAAGTGACTTTATTTAAATGATATCAAAATTTAGAACAAATTTCACGAAATACCAAACGCGACGAATTCCCAGCTGCGACTAAACAAAGAACAGCTGATCGCTGTTAAACACAACGGGAATTCGCTTATCAGTGCAGGGTTGCATGGCGTTGGCTTGTGTGCCTGCTGGATACAAACACGGTTGCCATTTCCAATTTATTTTTCTGACCGAAAAATGCACCAAATAGTAAAAATTTACCCTTTTTTATTACATCGGGAAAATGAGTGGAGTTATGCCTCTATCAAGAAAATATGCCAATTCAGTTATTATAATGATTTTTTTTTATATTGCATCCAAAATGCATTACAATTGTATATTATTAAAATTATATTATTTAAAGTTTTAAATTCTAATTTGTCTCTTAATTCCGTTTTTATTTATGCTAAATCAGAAAATTTGCGCTCAGCTGCTGCGGAACTGTGAGGCAGAATAAAAATGTTATAAACTAAATCACACAATTCTCCAAAGTCCGCTTCACTCAGTCCGTTTTTAATCAAACTTACTTAATCCCAAAAGCGTTCTATATAGGTACAGTTTTTGAAGTTACCTTCCCTCAGCCTCAATTTGCGAAATGGAAATTCAATTATGTCTGCACATTTACCAATGCAGGAAATTGGTCGAGTAGCGGAAAAATTGATACATCAGTATCAGAAAGAACTTTATGTGGTATAATAGTTTCAAAATGTTTAATATCTTTTCGATAGAGATCGAATATTATTTGCATTTGCTAAATGCTATGATTTAAGTTTTGCTACCTTTCCATATATTTGCCAGCGACTTTAATATTGGTCACAGAGTAACTGAAATTAGCAAGAAACCGCGATATTTTTTGAAGAGTGCTTTGACAGATGATTAGCCATGCCATATTTGAAGATCGGTGGCAAGGCGTGTTCACACTTTTAGCAGCTATTGCCAATCGGCCCTATGCGCAATATCTTCATAGTCATCGTCGACGATCATCAGCGCATCAGTAACATGGCTGACGATGGCGATATTCAACATAGGGCGGAATATTCATCGATTAAATAGAAAAAAATTAAAACGCAAAACTATTGCATGAAGTGAAAGCGTGATAATAACCTAACCAGAGGCTTGTGAAATGGACTATTCTAAAAATATTTGGAATAATGGACCAAACGAAAAGAAATGGACCAAATTTGGCCATTTGGACCAAAACGGCAACCGTGAATACAAAGTAGTTAAAACAAAATTGATTTTTGGAATTCTAGACGTTTATAATACCATGTAGAGCTGTAAAACTATCGATAGTCATCCCATTCCATGTTTTCGATAGTTTGCATTGAAGCTATCGATATTATATAAACTTTTTAGTTTTGTTTAGTTCCTGAAGAATTAGCTAACTAATTGTTATATAGCGATTTTCAGAACTTTGTACTTTCTCTTCGATACAAGAATCTCAGAAATTTTACTAACCCTGGCTTATATCAATAGTTTCTTCCATCGAAGCAGAATCACTAACACCATGGTATGGTTCCAAAGTCTAGGTTCAGACAGAGAACGAGGAAGGGCACCGAGTTTCTCGTGCTCGGGCAACATGCTTTGTGCTCTCGTTCATCTGAGTAATTCTAGTTGGCCGCTCACAGCTGACAACAACAATTGTGTACAAAAGAATTGCTCTGTGGGCACGCGAAGGGCAACACCAAAAGAGAAATTGCCGAAAATGAGAAACAAAAGTTTCTCTGTGTGAACCTAATCAAAAAGATATTCAAACTAGTTTTTTCAAATATAATTTCATCCGATTTACATGATTCAAGTACTTTAAAGCTCTCTTTTGTGTTTTCTATTTGCGAAAATGTCAAATGCAAAGCTCGAAACTTGAAACCATTTGGCGGTACAGACTCACCCCTCTCCCACTAGCAAGCAGAATCGATTTCATTAGCGATCCCGTGTTACTCTTTCGCTCTGATCGAACTTTTATTTTTTGACAGTTTTTCCTCAAACAAAGAGGCTGACTTCCAAAACGTCAATTGCTTTGCATACGTACAAAGTATAATGTTCCATAACGCCGAACTACAAAATTTAGACAATGTATACTGTTTCAAAACGCATCCTAAAAGTTATCGAAACGCATCGCTAGAGCAATCCGCGCGTCAAGCTGATGCCACATAAAACTTTTGCTTCGCTTTACGTGACAGATAAGATGAATTGTATAAAAATGCACAAAGCATACCACATAGATCATTGAAGCTGCAGCGCGAAGCAAAAAGATGGCCAACTCCCATCTTTGGGCGCTTTGACAATCAGCCGGTTTAAGATTTATTTTGTTTCGTCCAAATTAGAGTATTCATGCAGAAACATAAAACTCAATTACATTGCTGATAATTTTAAAGCAAAATATCTAAAATCCACAGCAATCTTGAGGAGTAAAAAAGCAGTGCAAAATTGATTTCTTGGCGTTCATTGTGGTATACATTTTGCGTATGGCGCTTTGCTGGAAAAGTTATAAATGTCACGCAAAGCTACAAAGTTTTATCTGGCATCAGCTTCAGAAACAAAGTTCAACAAAGTCACAGATAAGCAGGAGAAAACACGTTATACAAAAATAGATAGATAACAACAACATATGTGTAAATTATTTGAAAAAAAAAAAATCATTGATATTAATTTTAAAACGTTCTCTACATGAGTAAAGGTCGACATAATTACAAATAGAGTTACATAGACAAATGGATCTGTGAATGGGCTCATTGTTACCAAATTTCGTTTTTCGCGTTGGTACGTAAAAAATGTATTTTTCTCGTTAGTACCATAGACAGTTTTACAGCTCTAATACCATTTTCGGACCGACAACGAAAACACTTTGAAAATGAGTTTTGGGATTGTGGGCTGAAAGCTGTTCGCACCGGCTGTTAGTGTTTAGGTTCACATTTATTTCATCCTTTGTTTACAGTTTTGCTACGAAAAATAAAATCAAAATCTTTGTCTTTCATTTTCTTATCATTAGCAACCTTTTTCTTTTGTTTATATTTTAATTTGGCCAGCCAATTGACAATAAGTTCCCACTAGTGTATTAAAGATGATAAAATATGACTTCCACTTTGATAAATATATCTAAAATACTTGTGAAGACACCGATTGGTATGAGTGGAACCTGAGTTTTCAAGTAGTTTTCAACAAGTTAGTAGTTAAAACCAGTTATAGCAACGAAAACATGTTTTCGATATCGGTCCGTACATGGTATAAGGACATCACACCATGAATTATTTTTTACTTTAACTGACAATAACAGGATACCTCAGACATTAAATGGATAGCTTGAAAAATCCTAAATTTGAAAAGTAATTGTCTTAAAAGTATAAATCTAACTCGTAATTTAAAAAGTGAGATATCTGGTATGTTGTTCGTCATTAATTTTTAGTACTTCGAACAAATTTGTTAACAATTTAATAACATTGCAATACTGAACTGTTTTGACGGCACTTAAAGTAATCATTGAAACTGAAAGTACAGCATAATGCTGGATTTCGACGTGTCATTAAATGGCAAAAACTTTAATGGCAAAGTTGATTTTTAAAAAATATTTCAGACATTACGTTGAAAATATACTAATTAATTAAATCCATTTCCACATGATATTTTTTAAATATGTCCAATTTCTTATCACTTCAATACCTAGTGGAAATTCGGCATAGTGGACGTGTAATTAATTATTAAAGACTTTTTGTGCTCTTGCAATTGCACATGTAAAGTTTTACTTGAAATTTAGTTTGTTTTTCTTTAACTACCTCTTTGAAATTCACACCGGACTCACATTATCACCCCCGGCTGCACTTTAATTTTCGTACTAAACATTTGTTTTTGCGCTACAGCAACACCTTCATAGTTTGTAAACAATTAAGCTCAAATAGTTGGCAACGTGGCCTTGACAGCTGAGCCCGTAAAAAAATCATCAACGCGTAGTTTTGCAAACGCCACAAAATAAACTGAATTTTACGAATATTCGGCATTAAATATCACTTTCAATGGCTACAAGTAACGCAAAAGGCCTCAAAGCTTCAACGTTTGGTGCTAGTTCATCGGGAGGTGGTAACAGAACTGGCGGAAAAACCGGCCCAGTTTCGACAACATCGCAGCCCGATGCTGACTCAGTCACCAGCACCATTAATATACCGCTCATAAAAATAAAAGACAGCAGCAAACAATTACCCACATACCATGCAGCGCTACAGCGTTCTGCAGAGGATTATCTAGCCGCCGAGGATTTGGATAACATACAGTTGGAACTTGAAACTCTACTTTCAAGTGTGGCGCTTCGTTACCGCGTCTTGAAGTCGGAGTATGAGAGCTTGGACAAAGATGAGCGTCGTATCGAACGACGTTCCAAACATGGTGCCAGTGGCGCAGACACTCCAATAGCCAATGCGGGTGCTTCGTCCAGCGGCAAACGTAAGCGCGATGAAACATCAAGCGTACGCAAACCGAAACACACACCCGCATCATCGTTAAAATACTCGAAACATGCCAAAAATAGCCCGGTTGCGCCAAATACGGATGATAGTTTGGATTATGTACCACCATCGGGTTCGCATGGTCACGGTCAAAACCGCGATCATCACTTGCAAAAGGTGACATTGCCCAAAAATGACACACCAAATAAATTTTGGCTTTCCGTCGAACCGTACTGTATGCCATTAACAAACGAGGACCTACGTCTGCTCGATGATCTATTGGAGCAGTATTCTGGACCATTAGTGCCACCAATACCAGAGCTAGGGCCACATTATTCTAGCATTTGGGCCACCGAAGATTTGAAGGAAGTGCAACAAGCTTCAAATCCAAATGCCAATTCAAATCGTTTGAAACCGCAAAACAGCGCTTCAAATGCTATGATAAAGAAAGCTGAGTCTATAATGGACGAATGTGTTACTGGACCCTTGACACAGCGTCTAGTGTCGGCACTACTAGAAGAGCAGCTAATCCAAAATCCCAGTGAGTTGTCCGCAGCTGCAGTTGCCGATAGCAGCAATAGCAGTAGCGAAAATACGCACTCCTCAGCACAAATGAATTTCCGTTCGCTGTCTTTGCTACGCAATTGCATCGATATCGAAAAACGTGTTAAAAAAGAACTCATCGAACAGGGTATTCTTGATTTGAACGATTTTCCAAACAATGATGAAGACGAAATTCACGCAGAGATAAAACGTCTAATTGCCGAACTATCTGCAATTGCAGAGTACAATGGTGCCGCACTGAAACGGTTGCATGAATCAGCCGCTGAGGAGATCAAGCGTCTAGAAATCAAACGCAAACTTGACACAATCGATCAGGAAATACTTGAAGCCTATAAACGTACAATGCAAAATAAAGCCAAACGCAAGCCACTCAGTACCGAGGATCAGCAGGAAATTTATCGCTTGACTTCGGAACAAAAAGCACTTTCTGACCAGTTGGAGCGCATACAGGCCAATTGCTTTCTATATGAATAGTTTTTAGCCACCACTGGTGGAGGGCAAGAACAACCAGATACGCGCGTTAATAGTGCAGCACCTGAACGCTCTATACTAGTGGCGCTTTTAAATGAGAAATAGTAATTATTTTTACAATTGAATTATTGAGTTTAAAAAACGGCATAATTTAAACCATTTTTTTGTCAACTACTATACATATACATACATACTGAACTTACCGCGAGCAGCACACCTCTTCACTGTACCACAATTAAAAACGTCATAAACAGCCAATATGCTGAAACCCTGAGGACTTTAAAATCGTAGTTGTGTTAATTATTCGAAGCTAGGGAAAATCGGAAACTGAAGATTGTTTGAGAATGAATTCGAGGTCACAGCTGCGGCCATTAAAATGAGAACGCTTAGTTTTTAGTAAATCAACTTTTGGATGACCGAATGTAGAGCTAAATCTGTCGACACATATTTTCCCTTTGAAATGGTTACATAGTATAATCATTTTCGAAAAAACCCTTCTGTGGGATTATTACTTAAAATTACACAAAGGCCACAAAATGTATAGTAATAAAGTGCTATGAAAATATGTTAGCCTCCACAGTATCTGTTGCACTACCCGCATACTTCAGTTTTTATGCAAATATTTGCCAAAGTGATATCTACACAACAAAAAGATATTCAATAAAATAGCGTTTTTGCATTGAAAAATTCTTCAGATTTATTAATAAGTGGGACATGAAACAGTTATACCTGCTGCAAGTATAAAAATATCAAATTTTTGTGCACATATGCACATACATTCATATTTAAAAGAAAACTTCAGTATTCATTTGTAACGAAACTACAAACTAAATTTACGACTAATTTACCACTAATATTCATATGAAGTATTTCATAGCAACAAAAAGGTCGTTTTCATATCACAATTTGTTTCGAATGAACTATTTAACAAAGTATATTCGTATGATGTTTAAGAAGATGATGCGCATTTGAAGTAAATACTGCGGCGGCGATTGACCGAATTCGCTGCCATGACAGTCGAGTTCACACAAATTGAATGATCTGCATTTATCGACGACCCAGGACCCTTTAAGGAAAATCGCAAGGCTCTTTCCAAATAATTATTAGCTGTTTATGAAAGTTAACATTTTAAATATGACAGTGAATCTCCTGACACGCTGAATCTCGTTAGATTAACTTTTAATTTGGATTGTTAGTAGGCAATAAATGGCACTTGATAACTTCAGTTTTTGCGATCCACTTCTACGTATGCTTGACAACAAGATCCGATTTCGTGGAAACTAAAATATTATTACAAATAGCCTTATTGCGTAAATTTATATCCTCTGTCAATAAGATAACATGATCAACGTGTTGTTTTGCCTGCAAACAACAGTTGATAATGCGATCATCTGGTGAGCTGATTTCAACAAGGTGTTCCCGTTCGCTAATAGCGCTTTGTGCTACAATAAAACCACATACAAATTTAAAACCACAAGTATATACATACATATGTTTTCGTAAAACAAATATTCAATATTTACCTTGTAGATGTTTATTTTTTTGCCTCAAATTTGGCATTCAGGTATTTAATAGCGCGCACCGCCAGCACTTTGGTGCCATCTCCCACTGCAAATTGCTTTAATTTATCCAACTCTTGTAATACGCTATATGGTAAGTAGAGCACAGTACCGCTGGTATCTATCAGATTGGGGAGATAAAATAAAACATACATATTCATACTTATATGATTCTTTTAATTTGTATTACGCCTACGAACCGCATAATTTCATGTGGCTTAATTCTTCAATAAATGTTAGATGTCGTAGCAGCACATTCGTGTCCAATACAAAATAATAATAATCATTAAGCCACTTTCCATCGGCTGTGTTCGCGCCATTTTTTTGTTCTACAGCATAACGTAAAAGATTTTCATTTACGGTACCATAATATTCGCCCATTGTTTCAGGTTCTTTTCCGCTCACGCTAACCTCTGCATTACTAGACTCATTGCTAGATATCTCAATGGTTTCAGTTTTTAAATCTTCTATAGGCATCCAATCCATTGGTTCTAAAAGTATGTATATAATTCTTTCTATATTATATATGTATGTATGTATGTATGAGTATGGACTCACCATCATCGACTTTCGCCGGATTGTTTTTTTCCATTGTATTATCACGTATAACACAAGCCAAAGCCGAAGAGCAAGCAGATGCACACAGCCGCGTTGGCGTAGACGATTCCTCACCAATGTCGATGGCATGTTGGCGTAGGGAATTGCGCAAGCGTTCTAGACGCGTATTAGCTAAAAAAAATGCGTAATAAATGAAACAGGTATGTATGTAGATAACAATGGCTTTTTATATCAGTTGGTTTCGCTTACCACTACCCCTTTCATAGGTGGGAACTACAAGGCTACTGGGTGTACCAAATAATTGAGATGGTGAGGCAGTTAAGGCAAATGCTTTGAAATCTACCGATGGATTCCCATTACTCGGTGTGGCAATGCCCTTCATTACGATGGCCATTGGTGCGCTGGATGCAGTTTTTCGTTTGGGCGTGGCATCACTTTCAATTTCACTGTCACTGTCACTACACTCCCCATTGCTTTTCAAAGCTCGAGCCTTTGTGGCACGTGAAACTGTTTCTTTTTTAGGTATTTTAAAATTTGTTTTCTTAATGCAAGGCTCTAAAGGTTTTTGGCTCAAAGCCTTTTTGGCGTTACAATAACTGCTGAAGGTACTTTTGCATATGGCTTTTATTTTATTTACAATGCCACTACCAATACCGAGGGCCGCAGTTGTTCGCTGACTTTGATTCTTTTCATCATTTTCTTCTTCATTTTTGGGCGTGTTTTCCACTTTAGACTCTGATTCTTGTTTTGCACGTTTCTGGGGTTTAGTTATTGATTCGATGTCAAAATTGGAGGATGGTCGTTTTCTAACTTCTTTTTTCGGCGAACTTTGTTTCGAATTCTTTGATGAACTCAATTTTTGTGGCGTAGTGTTCGCTGCCACATTCTCATCCTTTTCCATTTTAACTGACAAAGCACTTTTGCTTGTTGATGGTTGGAAATCTTTTTGCACATCTATTTTGCTTTCAGATGGCTTAGATTTTATATTCAATTTGTTGTCTTTTTGAAGATGGGCTTTCTTGGAATCATCAATTTTATTTTCTCTCTCAATTCCGATGTCCTTGTCTTGACTTCTCCCTCGCCGCGCTTTCGCTTGTTTTTGAGGTAACTTATCCTTTTGAGTCGTTTTTAAATTATGTTGCAGACGTTTAAGGCGATCTTGGGCAGGAGTACGGAGCGGTTTAGCTGTTTATTAGATAAATATTTAGCATACAATAATTGCGGAAATGAATATTTTGAGTGTATTACCTATGCACTTTGGTGGTGACTGTGCTTTTCCTTTTTCAGCAACGCTAGTCGGCTTGGCGTCATTATCCACAAACTCACTGCACCATTTGGTTTCGCCAGTTGCCTTGTTGAACATGTACCATTGGCCTGGCCGCTTTTTTGATTGGCACTTTATCCAATCATCCGTTTTAGATACACTTCCTCGCAATTGTCGCTTTTCCATTGTAATATTTTAACCAAAGTATGCCAAAAATGCATAAAAATTATTCAAAAATATAGAAATCACAGAATTTCCTCCAAGTAATTTTTGGCCAAATTGAAAGCAATTTTTACAGCTGACAGATTACTATTTAACCCTTCGGCGTACATGGATAAAATCGTATACGTTTTAACAGTTGCGAGGTAAAAGTGCACTTTAGCGAAGGTAGGTCAAAATGGACGGAAAAAATTCGAGAGGGGTATCAATCGACGCGTCTTAACGCCAATAATAACAATCCGAGACAGGAAATTAAGATTATTAATTAATTGAAAAGTTATTTGCAAAAAACACTTGCACTTTCCGCACTATGTTTCGATGAATTTCACACAAATGAAAGGAAGAAATGAACTTAATTTAACACGTATTTATTAGTTTTTATACATTTGTGATGTTTTAAGTGTACACTTTCGCGAAATTCTGTATTTAATAGCAATATTCCGATGATGAAAATCCGCACAACAATCTTGGGTAGTTAATATAAATAACATGGAGAAAAACTAGTGTTGCCCTCTATTAAAAATAAAATGGAACTAAATTGCTGCTGCCACTCTATTAAAAATGTTTTTGTGCATCGAACACCTTTCTGCGTAGGCGGCCTTCGGCAGCGCTTAGGGATTATAACCCTCAGGCAGTAGAATTCTCCTTTCTGTGTTCCAAAGAAGGGGGGCTGAACACCTTTTGCAGAGAACACCTTTCTGCGTAGGCGGAAAGTGCAAGTGTTTTTTGCAAATAACTTTTCAATGAATTAAAAATCTTAATTTCCTGTCTCGGATTGTTATTATTGGCGTTAAGACGCGTCGATTGATACCACTCTCGAACTTTTTCCGTCCATTTTGACCTACCTTCGCTAAAGTGCACTACTACCCAGTTGCGATCCCGTACGAGTCCAGACAAATCAGTAACTGTCAGGATCAGTCGGATTTTACTGGAAATCGATCCCGTACTCGGTTCTCTGACTATTGAGAGGTCAAAAAAGAGAGTATGAAAGGCCCACTCTCTGTCAGAAGTTACGGAAGAAACCAGCTGACGCGGAAAAATCTAAATTTCGCAGATTTCTGCGCTGAGGGATACAACTACAGAAAAACTGCGATGTTGAGTTTTCATTTACATGGCGCTTTGGTAACTTAGGGTTTACACCAAGGCGAATTTATACAAGGTATGTTTCTGGCTAAGGCGAATTTATACAAGGTGCTGTTGATGGCGAATTAAATTCTCGCCGCGGTACCACTGAATGTCAAAATGATGTGTTTGTTGTAAACCAGGCGAATTCATATTGCAACAAACACATCATTTTGACATTAGGAAGTACCGGCGGAAATCTAAATTCGCCATCAACCCCACCTTTTATAAATTCGCCTTGCTAGACAATATTGTCAAGACAATGATGTCAAAATGATGTGTTTGTTGTAAACACGGCGAATTCATATTACAACAAACACATCATTTTGGCATAATTGGCTAATTGTATAAATTCGCCTTGATATGTTCTTTGCTGTGGCGACAATATCAAGAAGACGATGAGAGTGTTTTGATATGTGGTCAGTGTTGCCGTTATGCGACTAAAAGGGAAATTGGACTCTTTCTAAGCGCCAATACCCTTTGACCCAACCTTTATGAAAATTTTGATTTCTTAACCCTTTGAAAAAAATACGTGCGGCTATGGTCCCCTTTTAGAGATTTTTTAGAAAAAGTTAACAGAACCATGCTATTAGCAAAGAGCTTCGATAATAAGAAGGGACAACTCGTTATAATTGTAGCGAAAGAGAGCAACAGGGGCGTGCTTTCTCTTTTCATCCAATTAAAAAACCTACCAGAGCAAAAGAGAACGCACACCCCTGTTGCCCACTTTCACTACAATTACAACGAGTTGTTCCTTCTTGTTATCTGCGTTCTTTGCAATTAGAAAATATTTCCTCCTGTGAGTACGAAAAAATGCATCACTTAAAACTTCTAAAGGAAATGCAATTCTTCTCCTTGGAGGAACTAGATTTATGTGTATGTTTGCGATCCTGTATTTTGTAAAGCTTGTCCGGCTATTTTCTTTTTTAATTCAACAGATTTATTCTTCTACTAGTAAAGAAAAG